TATTAATTATGAATGATGATGGACAAACGTCAGAGTTATTTTACACTTCACTTACATTACATTAAATTGTTATTTGATATGATAATATTATCATGCATTATTGTATATAGTCGGTTACTACATAATAAAAAAACAATAACATCACTAATGTATACAATGGTGATGTATGGGTACAATAGAATACCTAGCTCAAAATCTGATTGTTTGCTTACCTATATTATGACATTTTGCAATCATGTCAAATAACCTAACTGTCTAACCTAAAAATATAGTTTTGTTTTGTTAACAACGGATTATAAAAAATTAAAAAARCAAGTTCCTAGGTATATAAAATTATACACGCATAAAACATTTTCATTCATATTTTAAAATAATACAATACCTAGAAAACCTACCTACTATAATGAGACTTACACAACCATGATGACACTTTTATTGATTAAAAATCTATACATGTTTAAAATAAATGTATCGTTAATTCTTCAATATTAGGCACCTATGTAATAATTAATATAGTGTTATTCAAARCCTATTAATACGTATAAGAGTTCCGGTCTCACAAAACGCGTGTGCACTGTGTACCTACACTATATATTAAACTTAGGGTAAGTATTAATATAAAATCAAACAACCTATATTTAAACTTTTAAACCTCCGCGGCAACAAGAGAGGTAGTGTTTAACCTAATGAGAATAATGAGATACGTACCTATAACATATTATTTAAGCAACAACACTTCAATTACGTAGGTAGCTACAAGTTCGAGTTAAAATATGTTAATGGTCAGTAGTGTGTGTTACCTATGACTTACCACTTACCAACGTAGGTAGATAATTAACTATTGAGTGTAGGTATGAATGCCTCATTTAATCCACTATAAATAGGCTATAGCCACWAAGTAGCCAAGTGGCGAGTGGCAAACATATTGCATGTGGTATTCACCTTCGTCTTTCACCATTATAGCCTTATAGGTATTAAGTACCTGTTCGATGTAATTCAATATTAAAATCGTTGTAATATTTGCATGCCTAATAGTCGATTATTCACTTATTCATATCCTAGGTATTTATAGTTTATACTGAATACGCCGATAAGGAATAAGGATTCCATAAAATTCAAACTTCAAAGCACGGACTAAGATTATTTTAATTCACGCAAGATAATAGGTTGACCTATGATAACCTTATAGTTAGTTAGTTCATGGTTCAAAGTTTACTTCTCAAATTATAATATAGATACCTATCTATTATTTTTATCAAACTTCAAATTATTTACTTTTTATCCTAGTCGGGCTAACTGAAATTATAAATYAGCCCTGAAAAACTAAACCGGACTAATTATCTATAATAGTATGTAGTAAATTATTACATACTAAGTAATCGGTCACAATCTCACAATTTTCCACAGAAACTATTTGCTTAACTGGCGACTTCCACATCGTCACCTTGACAAGACCGTCCCTTAYATACCTACATACCGACTGCAGGCGACTACCAAGGTGTATATTTAACCTTTCACCTATTATCCCTAATAAACAGTATAGATATCTTATGCACATAGTCAAATCTGACCTTTAAATTAGTTCATTTGGTTTATATTAATCCTCAGTGATGATTTTTCCAGTAGTGAGGGGATCTAAKGGGTTTGGGTTCTGAGTAAATTAATATTTTTTTATTGAATAAATTAAGTATACCTACCTATAACAAATGTTTGACAAACAGTCATGCATAAGTAAAAAATAGTATAGAATTTTCGTTAATGTAAGTTAATTAAAATTAATTAAATATATCGTATTGTGTATTTGTATTGTATTGATAATATCATCATAGCACACCCAGAAATATTTCAAAAACTTCTACTGCTAATTCTTATACCGAATTACGACCTAGATAGTTATAATCCTGATTTTTTATTGTTAGAAGCGCCTCACCGAATATAATAATATATGAGTATTATTATTCTTTTTTTACAGTGACGACATCGTGCCGTCCACGTGTTTAAATACGAACAAACGGCGTTATGTACGACTTTTCAGTGGCCCTGCTGAAAGTATGGCAATGCTTGTTCATCGCACCTGTGACACTGCGGCGGAAACCAGCCGACGACGGCGACAGCGTGAAGCCACAGTCGAACTACACATTCAGCGTCTGGTGGTACGCTTTCAACATTGTCGTGTTGGTCGCGAGCATGGCCGTCGGGATGTGGGTCGTTGTGGTGGACACGCAAGCATCCGCGATGGGACGGTCGTTTCGAATACAGAACACTTCCTCGGCCGTCGTCACCGCGCTCCAGGTGACGCTCCAGTGTTTGGTGTGCATGCTGGCAATCACGTGCTCCGCCAGCCGACACACCATGCTGCTGGACATCGAGCGGCACCTGAACCACGTGGACGCTGTGCTCCGGGTGTCCACAAGCCAGCCGGTGGCGAGGTACACTATAATGCTGGTCATGTTCCACGCGGCTTTGTTCGCGGCCGACAGTTACTTGTGGTACATGATTAGCCCGACCACCTGGATGTACCACGTGTGCTACGTTTACATGGCTATCGACTTGGCCACCATGCTCATGTACGCGCAGATCGCTTGGAACATAGGGCGTCGGTTTGAGGACATTAACGCGGTGATCGACTGTAAGCTCTCGGCCCACCAGACAGACGCGACGACGAAGTTTGACTATAGCCGCCATGGCGGCCGTGGCTGTCGACTCCCTCAACGGGTGTGGACGTTCGCCGGCCACACTGCGGTTGTTGTGTCAGCTAATTCGATTGTCATGGCTGAYCGCATATTGGGTACATCATGTAAAAATAATAATAGMGTTTATCCGTTTATGATCAGTAGGTACTAAGTTATAGGTAAGTACCTATAATTGTGAATAAACGTAAATTGCGCTCAACGAAGGGGAAAAATTGTAAATTGAGCCCGTTATTTTTCAGATACAAAKAACTATGTAGTCAATTGCGCCAAAAAGAAATATTTATTTTTATGATAGTCATTTAGCATTACCCAAATGAACACCATCACTGTCCTTCAAAAATAATTTTTTGGTTTGCTTAAAACAATAGATACATTATTTATTTATTTTTAAATAAAATAATACGGGATTAATAAATTGTTTTAAATATTTTTTGTTAGGTTAATTTATGTGGTAAGTTTAATAATTTAAACATTATAATGATCCGATAATCCCATGATGACGGTTATAGTGATGCACGTTTGGCTTATCCACCAATAAATGAACAACAGTATTTAAAATATATAAAATATAGATAAATTCAAGGTCACTTGGGTACTATGGGTGCAATTCACTATACTATTTTTATCTGGTTTACGTGGGCACAATTTATCAGCGCCTATGATTATAGTACTTATACCTAATATTATGCGACTAATGACTATGCCTAAAATGAGTATAATATTAGATACACAAATCAGTACCCTATTACTAATACGAACACGCTTTAATAATATTAATTATTATAAGTATACATTGCACTATTGCAGTTAGGTATGTCAGATATATTGGCGCAAATCACAGGGGTGACAAGGGTGTTTCAGCAGTCTGCATTTTAATGCTAGCACACTGTATTTTGTGAGTATCTCAAATAATAATTACAAATCTTGAACACGTACCACTATTATAATGGGTCAAGATAGTTGGACTACTAATCTACCTATCAATAATTATTATGTCGAGTCACTTCTTAGCCTTATAATGATTCAATTTAATATTTATAATATGAATTAAATAGTACTAAGATTTTTATTCCGGTACTCATCATGAATAATTAAATATAAAATTGCTCAGGCGTTCGCTGGTTCAGACCAGAAATCTGTATAGACTGTATCTATAATGATTTTAGGTTTGGTAGTTCAAACGATGAAATCGACTCGAATAGTTTTCAAAATTCCTTATACCCATATTCGATTACATTTTAACTATACTTATAATTTTTTAGTATATTAATTATAAATTGTTACCATAAGAATATTTACAATGATATTATTATATTTATAGTTTATATAATATTTGTATATTGAAAAATCCAATTTATACAGTATAGAGTATACATATAGTTCGATGATAATAATATATATAATATATATAATATCGTCTATGGCTTCTTTAATATGTCAATGGATTATAAACTGCAGGTTAAAGAAAGCATGAAAGTTTATTTTAATATTTTCATAAAATATCAACCTTTTTTCATGACACGTGAGTGACGCCTTTAATTTAACTAATAGGTTTTAGTGTTCACACAATTTCTGATTCGTGTTGAAATTATAGAGTTTAATGTATAGGTAAGGCATGGCGGACGTAACAACTAACAGTACGAGTAGGTATATTGTATATATCAATCAGCTATCTCCGTGGCTATTATTTTAAAATAAATTGTATTTGCTACGAATGTCGAACTTTAATAGTACCTACATGGAAAGCTGAGGGAGTTCATTAGATACTAAAAAAATAAAGGAAATATTTACATTTAGTCAATTTTTTTGGTTGAATAATGTTTATTGAACATTCAAAAGTTTGAGTTAATATCAAAACTGAAGAGTAGAAATGACAAAGCGATTGGATCATAGGATTGTAGGAAGTATTTTGGAAAAAAATCTAAAAAAGTATTGCTAGGTAACTAAAATATATATTATAGGTACATCTTGCTATTTTAATGTGATGTATGATGCATTTACGACGTCGGTAATTACTGATAAGTTATAASTTATAACTTATAAGGTATCGCTAGACGCTAAACTGCTATAGTAAATAATGTATTAAAATAGTATTTATTAATTATTATGTAAACATTGTATAAAATTACGGGCAAAAAAAAAACCATGGTAAAAATTTAAACAATTGTTTTCAATTATTAATTTTGAATTTTAAATAAAAATTAAACAGTTAACTATAACTATCTACATATTGTGTAGGTACAATAATAATTCTTGTGCTGTTATTCAACCAATTTTCAAATATTTTTATTTATTTAGTTGATTGATATGCCAAACTCTACAAGCATTTTATTATTAGTGTGATAATAATGAGTATTTACCTATTATATAATTATGTTAATCCAGTCAAGGTATAAAAGAGTTAAAATAAGTACGGAGAACTAAATACATTGTATAGTCGTTGTACATCTAGATCTATTAAACGGCGTAAAATCTATATTTTTTAATACCTATTCAACAATACTGTTAAATTTTAAGTATTTCTAACCAAAGAACTAGATTAGATGAGTGAAATTACTGTAATATATATTAACTATTTTGTTTTATTTTTGTGTTATTTATAGAAATAAAAAATATTTCAATTGCCAAATTACAAGATCTTCACTGGAGTCTTTGTAATAGCATCAAAGTAATCAATGATAAATTTGGCTGGCAATTATTTCTGCAGCTGTTTTGCAATTGCGTCCAACTAATTGTGACCCCATATTTTATAATCATAAATTTATTTTACCCGGTGATTTATGGTTCTACAGATATTAAATTCATTCTTATTCAAGTTGTCTGGGTGCTGACCCACTTGAGTCATTTATTATTAATCGTATTACCCACGTCGTACGCTACTGAAAAAGTTAATAAGAAATATATAGTAAATTTATGGTAATTTAAACTGTTATTTCTTATGTATTACACAGGGTGAAAAAACTGCTGTGATCATATGTAAATATCTAAGTCTTGATATAGAACCAGGTGATATGAAACAGGTATCTATTATTTATGAAAAAAATATTATTAATAATACTGATTAAAATTAATTGACTATGCTAATATTATATACTATAGTTGTAATTAATAATTTAGATAGTACTCAAGCCAAGGCCCAAGATTAAGATGATTTTGGGCCCGGAGCCAAACAATTTTAGGGATCCATAAACATAAATATATCACAGTATAAATACTAGCA